ACCATTTGTCATGGTTGCAGAATTACAAATTCTCTGAAATTCGAAAACGCAGGTGTGTGCAAAATATCACAAACTCGGTGGATGTTCGTCTTAACTAGACACCAGATCAGAAAGCATTCGTGAATAATTTGGCGCCTTGATGCCTAGAATAAAATTATTATAGAGCTCTTTTGTTCAACGCCAGTGTCACGCCGTTTGGTTTTATGTTCGAACATGAGTCAGGAAATCAACAACTGACGCCAACTTTTAGTGGACAACCTGCGTGTGACACACGGCGGCAGTCACTCAGCTGATGATTCTGCTATTACTTCGATGGTGAGAGCTCGGACAGTCGATACAAGTATACCACACCCGGACGTCCCGCACGAGTGAATTGTCACAGCTCTACGTGACACTAACTACTCTAGCATTGAGACTAACAGCGTACCGCGAGTAGAGTGACTAAAGTAGCAGACAGCACTATGACACTCACGGCGAGATTTCACCCAGAAGGCCTGTTTAGACACTACGGCTCTCTAGTCCACAGCCTCTACTCAATTAGGCCACGATTTATATTGACCGTTTACACTGAGACGCCACCGACTGCGGTGAACCCACCTGAGAGTGCGCTTAAGAGATGGCTCCAGCCAGATCCCCATGATCCTCGCGCGACTTAACTTCAGAAAAATATACTGCTGACAGATTCGGACGCCTACCTGAGGAGTGTCCGATTTTAATATTGCGTTCATGCTCTTCATGGATTGCTAACGCCTGACGATGAGCTATGCCTATAACCTAGTCTTGATAAACCAATATAGAGCGCTTTTACTCGCGATTTAGAAGATTGTTCATGATATAATATAAAATGTAATCTTTCAAAGAAATCGCAGAGACAGTTTTGCCCAATAAATTTCCGCATTAAATCGCAAACAAAGTTTTGGAGATCGAATGTGTGAGTTTGCAGATTAATCAGTATTGAAACATCAGCTACTCGCGCTCATTACTAGACAACACAACTTTCCGCGAGCTTTTTTGTACATTCTACGATGATTCGACACCGAACATGTGTTGTAAGGATTGACCACAGTATGCACAATTGCTACTGTAGTAATCATGCGACCCCGTACTCTGTGCCGATTGCACATCGACACACTTAAAAAAAGTCGTGTTGTTGATAAATAACATTTGACGAAAATAATTGATCTGTTTCAATCTCCTGTTCGCCACCCAGTAAATTCTAAATGCAGTCGCAGTGACGTATATTCATCTATGTAAACAAGCTAAACACGTGAGATAGTTCCGGGAACGCTATCGCATGAGTTATAGAGAAGTAGGATCAGGTGGAACCGTAGTGCTGAATAGCAAAATATAAAAAAATAATAGCAAAAAACACAGTTTTGTTCAGCGGGAAATATGGTCGGACTCTCGGATTAATGCTGACCTCTTTTTTATTTTATTTGGAAGTAATTATAATTTAATTTTGTGATTTCAAGGATTAAATTGGCACACCCACCATCTCGGCGCGAGCTTTATGATGAAATAA